TATTTCTCTTGAAAAATTTATTTTATTTGCATGTGACTAGAGATAATGCAGCAAGTATATGATGTTTATTTGTTACCTGTTACAACATGTTGCAATTCCAAAATTTTATAAGTTGCAATTAGTTGCAACTAGATGATATTTTATTTGTCATCACGTTGCAACAGTTGAGAAGCCATCTCACTACATGTAAATCTGAATCAAATCAATCCAATTCGGATTGCACTACCCCGCTTTAGTATTATCTCTAAATTGATACGTGATAAACGTGATTTATAAAATTTGTTTAGACGATCATACAAAAAATAGCGGTCTTGCATGAAGATCATTTTTATTGCTGTACATACATGTGATTACTTTTAACAACAGTGTATTATATTAATATTACATATTTATATGCTATTATATATTACATATCCCACAATATGTTTATATTACAAATCAGGTTAAACTAAAAGAATATGTATTATATAATAATCTAATTTATTTAAATTAGGATTATATTATGTATATGTACTGTTAAGTCCAAAAAGTACATGTATTTTATTTGTAAAAAAAAAGTTTCACGTGTATAAGATCTATATCTTATAACAATTAATAAAATGAATAATCCCAGCATCAACTACAAATATTTGAAATACAAATTTTACAAAAGTATTCTTACCAGTTAACTCTTTCGATTGACGAATTAACAAAATCAGCCGTAAAAAAACGCGCTAATTTTGATAAACCACCACGTCCACAAAACAGCTGGATAATTTTTCGAAGAGATTATGAAGCATATTTGCGTTTATGTAATCGATATGTTAAATCGAAAGTCAAAGAAACAGCAAAGGAATGTAGCTCGAAATGGCAAAATTTATCGAGCGAAGTCAAGCATTTCTTCAAAATATTAGAAAAAATAGCTTGTGAGAATCACAAGAAGTATAAGCCAAAAAACGCAAAAGATTCAAACATTAAGAAATGGGTTTTTCGCGAACAAAATAAATAAGCATCACCTAAATCTAGTTCAACGAATGTGAAAAAGTTGTCGTCGTCCCCATTAACAAATCAAGTTATGAATGATATTGGTTCGACAACAATCGATACATTTCCTTCTATGACTTCCATGATCAATGTTATTTCACCAAATCTACCTTCTATGGTCAAAGATGATGCTTCTTTATTCAATAGTGAAATGGATACAACATCAAACCAATTGGCAACACGCGCTAACGACGTTTCTACAATCGTCGATACTACTCCTTCTATGAATAATGTTAGTCCTCCAACTCTACCTTCTATATTTAACAACAATGGTGAAATTGACACCATTTCGACAAACATCGTTGCCTTTCCTTCTATGTTCAAAGTTAATTTACCTTCTATGATCAACGACGCATCTTTATTGTTTGATAATACAATGTTAAATATGAATGATATAAATGTTCATACTCCTAATTCAATAAACTTCCATCATAACATCGCTTCAACAACGATCAATACTCTTCCTTCTATGGTAAATGCTAATTTCTCAACTCTACCTTCTACGATCAACGACGACGCTTTATTGATTGATACTTGTAACATTGATATCATTTTGACAACCATCAATACTCTTCCTTCTATGCTCAATGTCAATTCACCAACTCTACCTTCTGCGATCAATGACGATGCTTCTTTATTGATTGACACCGGTAACATTGATAGCGTTTCTACAACCATCAATACTCTTCCTTTTGCAATTCTACGATCAACGACGATACTATCTTATTGGTTGACACTAATGGGATCGTTAATGACACATTTAAAATAAGGTCAGATTATTATATAAATGATGTCGGAGCCATTAACGTTAGCAATAAAAACCATTTCTAATTCAAAAAACTTCCAACACAAACTTTGTATTGATTCTTCAATATGTTTCACCGCTATAACAGCTATTGATAACTTGATGTTGTGACGCATCCTTGTAGAATTATTCCATTAAACCATTATTCAAACAAGAATATATATAATCTATTTCACTAATTATTTTGATAATTTTACCTTTTAATTATGTGGTCTGTATATGTTTTTAACATTATATAATACAACCAAGACCATTTAATGATAATTCATAGAAGTAATATCGCAAATTAACAATATTATATTTTTGGCTTATTTGTTGATTAATTTGTTTTCTTTATCTGTTTTTCGTTATCAGTTTTCTCTTTAGCTAATTATATTTAATAAATGGTGTTAATACTAAAATCTCTCTACCGTTATAATATATTCTATTACTAATAAATTATAATTGCAAACTATTATGTATTCGATGTTATGAATGAGATTGGATATAAATGTATTGTCAACAACATTTATTTTTATTTTTTCTATCTGTTTATGAAAGTGTAAAAATGTGATGTGAAGAACAAAATGAACATCTAAATTTGCGGACAAAAAAATAATAATATCACATATTCATACATATTAATAGTTAATTAAATCGTAAGATCATTAACCATTCGGTATCTTCTGGCGTTTTGGTTAGGGTTTTAGAGTTAGGATTAATGCAAGTTTATATAATTTAACATTATTGCTACACACCTCTCGAAAGTTGTTAGATCTAATGAAAATAGGAGGCAACACAAGGGTAGAGACTCCAACTGAATGGTTTACGAAAAGAGAGGTTCTCAATTCGTCCTAAAGGTCTCCTGTGGCAGTTCTTACGAGAAATACTACTTAAATTTTTGAGAGGGCGGAAAGAAGTATTTTTTAAAAGGGATGTTTAGGGTAGACTTGATTAATTCATGAGATTCCAGAGGAATAGAATACGGTTAGTTTCTGCTCACTACAACACAAGAAGAAGTCGGACTTTTTAATGTGGCTAACAAACTAATCGACACGAGGAATTAGGCACAAAGCAAATTCCGACACAGCATAAACAAATCAACGGTTGGACTTATCCAATGCCAATCAAACAAAATACTCAAGATAAATTATGATTTATTTAGAGTGGAGTTCTTCCACTATCGATTTATGTTAGGCACAAAAGAAATAAAAGCCACTCGTACGCAAGATTTTTAAGATGAGTTACGAGAAGGATATTTGACAAGAAAAAGGATCGTTCACAAGTTAATTATTATCTTTTTATTATTTCTTTTTATTGTAGTTGTCCTTGTTCTTGTCGAAAGGCCAAGAACTCGCCTTTATATGCATTTAATTATTCTATAATAACCACTTGAAGGACGGCGTGAAATTGTTCCTTTCGTCTTTCCGATTTGGATCTTTGAAGGCGGTTGTTGAAAAAGATTATAATTATAATAGAGATAAACAAATAAAAAAAGAGTATGATTCAAAGTGTAAATGCAAACGCTAATTACAATTTTCACAAATTCTAATATGATTACAGAGTATCCTATGACACATGTCACGGCTATTAATTATTAATTCCCACGAAGATTATTGTTTATGGTTACTTATCGATTGTTGAGATGCTCTCGGAATGTCGAATAACTATTTAGGTGGGATATTCATCCTGCGTTAATTGTTGGTAGAAACCGTTTTCATTATTGATAGTTGTTTGTCACAGAAACCGTAATACTGAAAATATATGTCGATTATTCCCATTTCAGTAAGGAATTACGGATATGTAAAATTTCGCAAGGAACATATTTTGTTAGAAATAAAAGAAGGCTCCGTAGGTAATATTTTGAAATACAATCTATTTTCAAGATCAAATGTTTATTTGAATTTTACATTACTGCCATAGATCGTAATCATATGATTCGACTTTTTTTGTCAACATATTAATAACAGCATAACCGAATATATCGTTTAAACCAATTTAATAGCATATCGGTATATAAATTCCATTGTTTTTCAGTTTTTTGATTCTTTATTATTAATTTGCGCTTGTACAATTCAATTATTCGTAAATGAACTCCCGAAATAAGCAACCCTTACATCATCATTAAATTAAGTGTTTAAAGAATGTTTGATTTACTTCGCTTATATCAAAGTGCAACAAATTACGATCGAAAACGTGCAAATTGTTATTGATATGAAACTCTACTTATTTGATGCTTTGAGAAAATTTAATAGTCCAACATGCGTTGAATATTCGAATTTCTTATTTCAGAAAAGAAATCGCGAGAGTTCTATTTATTTAGTAACCTTTACATAATACGATTGGACTAATTTCATGTATTTCGTTATGACGTTATGGTTGCACAATTTTAAGAATTTATTACCAATACATGCTATTTTTTAAAACGTCAAACTCCCTTCAATTAATTTTCGAAGAAATATACAATAATTCTATAATATTTATATTGAACAGATCTTTTGAAACATTGGCGCGCAAAATTGTTAATATGTATGCTTTCTTTTGTACATGGTTCAACTGAATGTTATCTATTATTATCATGTTATTGCTTTGAATAACAGCCTTAGATATACAAGAAATACGACAGTTCAATAAAAAAAATACGATTACGATGGAATCATATTTTGTCAGCTTTATAAATTTCTTTTAAGCAAGTCGAAATTTATATGAATTCCACATTATATGTATGTATGATCGATATTTACGTGAATGTTAAATTTAACTATTTCTGTTTTTCATTCTTTTGAATATTTATTATTTATAACATACTAAAAAATGGCAAGTTTGGTTTGAAGATAAAATCGTTATTATTTATCGGCTGTTCTCTTACAAATGATCTATGACAAGTCATATATGGCATATAGATCTATAAGCTTATTTATACAATTAAGATCTCTTTAATTAATGAGCAATAGAAATAGAAAAACAATATGTTTATACATTCATGAAAATCGAATAATAATAGAAACGAATAAATGAATGAATAAACGAACGCACGAACAAACAGACAGAACGTATAAACGATACAAATCCTAAAAATAGATTCGTCTATATTCGCCTATTTAGTGTTAAAAATGAAATGATATCCTTTAAGAAAGGTGTTCGACTTATGTAAATTAATTAATTTTGAGCAATGAAACATGACTGGCTAAAATCAAGAAGAGGATTCATAAAATAAAATATCATCAAAATTGACGTTTGATAAATTTCCAGCATTAAAAGCGGAATCGTAATCAAGATATTCATGAGAAAATGTTTCTATTAATAATGGTAAACTAACCAATGATGTCGTAGGAACCAGAGTTGTATTTGTATGGACGATAAGTGTGCTTCTTTGTGTTGAATTACAAAGAAGGCTATTGTTATTGTTACTATTATCGTTATAATTAGTTTCGAATGAATGATCAGCAAAGTTGTCGATTGATACACCATCTTCCTCATCAACAATGGGACCTGGATTATCAGTGGTATTAATGTCATGATTGAAAGAGTTATTTGTCGTTTTCAACGATGTGAAATTATCAGTCATATAATTTACTAAGGGCGACGCGTTAAGTTGTGCTTCCCCTTGTTGTGCACTGACACTTATTGTGCTCGATTTGGTCGAGGAAGTAAATGGATATTTTCTTTGTTCTCGGAAAATAAATCTCTTATTGTTTAAATCTTTTGCATTTTTTGGTTTATATTTATAATGAGGGTATATACGCTTATGTTTCTCGTAAGATATTTTCTCCAATATTTTGAAAAAAGTCTTAACTTCATTTGGTTGCGATTTCCATTTTAAACTACATTCCTTTGCAGTATGTTTAACCTCTTTCTTGATATCAAAACTACGCCGACGTAAATTAGCTTCATAGTCTCTTCGAAAAATAATCCAACTGTTTTGTGGCCGTGGTGATTTATCGGAATTATCGCGGTTTTTATTTGCAGGCATTGTTAATTCTTCGATTGTGAGAGTAAGATCATAAGGCGGTTCATTTAGAAATTTACGTTCAATTTCTGTTAAATATTCGTAATTATTCATTTTTTATCTTTTTTTTGTAGAAAACGTTGTTTATTTAAACTTAAAAACTTCAAATCTTTAAATACCTATTAAATATAATTTCTTGTTAATTAATTCTTCCCTTTTTGAGCAACGAAGCGAAAATTCCTCAAAAAAGGCATTTTCTTGTTAATCAATTCCGTAAAAACCATAGATGACGTTTTCATACATCTTTCTAAGCCGAGAAAGGATATGGCAACTTTTTAATGTATGTTATTTTTGTGTTATTACATGTATTTATTACACATGGCATTCATTCATTTTATGCATTTAATTTAATCATACTATTTAAAGATTTTTGTGCTATATCGGTACATGACAACAATGTTTCAAAAGATCTGCTCAATACATAGAATTATTGTATATCTCTTCAAAATTTAATCGTTATAGACTGAAGGGGAGTTTGCTGTTTTTAAAAATAGCAATAAATTCTAAAATACAATTATGCAACCATAACGTCATAACGAAGTACACGGCCGGCGAAGTCGCGGGCCGCCGGGAGGCGGGGGCGGGGGCGGGGTGTAATTGATCCAATATTGCGTGTTCGTATTATGTAATATGTAATCATAAAAATATAGATCACTAAACAAATAGAACACGCGATTTCTAATCTGAAATTTACGAAATAAGGGAAAATTTATTAATATATTTTTTATTTTCTTTTAGGATATACAGGATCTATTAATGATTTAAATAATATCGGACAGGGATTATAAGAAATCAATGAGAGTATAAACTGCAATTTTCTTTAAAAATTCTTAACGTTAAAATTAATGGCTTTGAGACTGAATTAAACGATAAATTTTTTACAAGAGTCGGCATTAGAATTCGTAATTATTATGCGTTATAGAGCAAGATCAACAAAGCATTATTGAAACACGCGCTTTGAAGGTTTATAGATCGTTATTTTACATGTGTAAAATTGTCACTACAAAATAAATTATAAAGAACAACTCGCTTTCTATCGCTATGATCAAATTCAGTTACAGACGCAAAATAAAATTCTCATGGAAATAGAGACAGCCTAAATATTAAACTTAACTTTAACTACATTATTTCTCACCATCCGACACATTGTTGCTTTATAATTGGACCGAAACTACATATCGATAGTTCAGGTATAATTTGAAACCTAAAACTATTATTTGAAATAATTTATGCGTAACCTTTAATTTTAAATTGTATCAAGAATACTTCTTGGAAAAAATTTAAAAGGGTTTATAAGTTTTAGGAAATAAATTATCATGTTCGCTTTTCATATGCATATAAATTTTCTCTTTTTTTTATACCAGAATAATCAATTGAATTATCTACAGAGGCACAGAGAGAGCAAGAGAACACTTATGCACAAGGATTGATCCGCTGATAGGGTTATATTCATAATTAAATGTTAAATCTGACGCAGGCTTATCAATAATTGTATAAATTCCATAGAGCATTCTATTTATTGTCACGTATCAAAAATAGGCGTAGTTTGAACTACAATAAATACTTCGATTTCTAATAGATAGTAAGTAACCATAGTTTATGTAGTATCGATGAATATAAATTTCAATGGCAGCAAATTGCATTTGATCAAGAGATAAATTTTGAGAAGTACAGTATAATTGTGCCAAAAAGAGCAGATTTTTGCATAACGATAGATATTTATCATCATTATAATGCTAGTTATGATATTAAAGATAACTTGGAAGGAATAATTAGAATTGGACTAAAAACTTGTTCTAGAATTATTTCATATTAATCACATTGAGAGAAAGAACGATGAAGTCATTAATTATATAAAGCTTTAAAAAGAATAGTTTAACATCTGCATCTTACAAGAAAAATATTATCATTTGCATCGAAGTTTTATAGTTATATGCTGCTAAAAATTAACGAAGAACAAACGAAAGAACTAAATAAAAAACAACCAGAACAGCTAATAAAATGAACGAAGATAGATAGGACAAGCTAAATGGGATTCGCACAAAATACTATAAAATCCAAATAATTTTGTCACGATAAAAATAGACAAATAGTCTAAAATTACACGCGAATAATGTTTAAATACAATGAGAAAAAAGATTGAATGATAAATCTGTAAATTATGTATTATATAACATTAGTCAAACTTTACGTAGAAACATAATTAAAAAGGAAAAGTCGTTAAAAAATTACCAAAAGCGCTTATATGCGAAGACATTATATTCTGGCTCGAATAATGTTTTGGATAGCCTTGACGAATGAGATATGTGGCTATCATTAAAATAGTGCGTTGATTTATAGATAAATTAAAATTAGAAACGGTTCGTTATCAATAATTGTTCTAACTGTGAGTTATTGCTAAATGAATAATTTGACATTATTTTTCGTTGACCATTTGAGAAGTTAATTATTGATCATAGAAACGATTTGATTTTATTATGTTATCATTGATTGCATCGATGAAAGTTGGAAAATTAGTATTGATGATAAGAGGAAGTTGTTGAAACGATGGAAATATATTTAATCCTATGTCTGATGTTGATATTATCGAATACATCTTACCAATAAAAGAAGTTTTCTCATTGGTTGTAAAGGGATTTGGCGAATCAACATTGATTATAGGAGAAAAGACATCGGTGACTGTCGAATGAACTAATGTTGCATCGACTTTATTAGTGTCAAGTATTAAAGCATCGCTGTTCGTGGTAGGTAACATACAATGATCGATGGTTGCCATATCATTCATAGTTTGATTTGTTAATGAGAGCAAAGATGACTTGATACCCATCGAGTTAGGTTTATATAACGAAGTAAATGAGTATTTTTTTTGTTCGCGAAAAATAAATTTTCTACAGCTTGAATTTCTCGTATTTCTTGGCTTATATTTATAATTAGGATATAACCTTTTGTGATTTGCATAAGCAATTTTCTCTAATATTTTGAAGAAATGCTTGTCTTCGCTTGGCAGATTTTTCCACTTCAGACTACACTCTTGAGCCGTATTTTTGACTGCTTGTTTAACTTCAGGGCTACGACAGCGTAAATACGCTTCGTAATCTCTTCGAAAAATTATCCAGCTATTTTGCGGTCGTGGTGGTCTTTCATCGCGTTTGTTTACAGCTGGTCTAGTTAGTTTTTCAATAGAAAGCGTTAATTGGTAAGGACATTTATTTAAAATTAGCGACTCATCACAGCTTAAATCGTCGTAGTTAGTTCTAACGAGGGGATTAGACATTTGAAATGGTGCAGTTAATTTTAAAAGAGTTATTAGAAAAATTTGTTTATATTATGACTTCATCACTCTTATAAATTCGTCGAAATTCTACTTTTTTAAATTGAATCATAATGTATTCGTAGACAACCATTGTTTATTATATAATACCATTTGCATTATAGTTATAATTACACTATTATTAAACCCTTATTTTCAAAAAATTACATTTATGGCACAAAAATAAACAAGATTTAGCACATATTGGGATAAATGGGATAACATTATAAAATAAGAAACACCTCCTTAAATACATATTCTATTTATCGAGGTCGGATTGAGAACATGTATTAATTAATAGGGATAGTACGCCCCCATTCTTAGCCCATTTCGTAGATAAACCAATTTACTAATCATAAAGAATTATCCAGAAGATCTCTAGCCAATAGCATAATGAACAAATAAAATTAGTTAAATTAGTTATAATATTTTTTATACATGTACTTTGGCACTTATACAATTATAGGAAACAAATAACGAGGGAAAAAATTTTCCGTTACACATTATGCAATTTGACTGGTTTATCACAATGACTCATCACTCTTTTCGCGTAACTTCGATAACAAAACGACGTGCCTGATCATCTGTGGGGCGACACATAATTACTAGACCAATTATTTAAGAGCGTATTTTAAAAATAATTTGTTCATGTACAGATCGGTCACTTATGGCGCATATCTCACCATCCGGTGCGCGGTTCTTTGATATCCAGTGGTATGATCCGAGCAAAAATGCTACCACTTGATTCGCCTAGCTGAGACGAATTGAATGATAATATTTTTGATCGAATCTGATCATTGGGCGTCGAGATATTGCGTATTAGGTTGGTCGATTATTTTTGCTGATGTCTGAAAAGTAAATCGGCCATTTATGATGCATATATCGACATTTAATGGAAACTCTACTATTCGATTAGGCCAATATCGGACCGACGATCAATTTCTAAAATGAATCATCATTTAGAATAGGGATGCTAACGACTCGACTCAAATCGACCAACTCGTAAAAAAGTCAGACTTTTTTTAAGAGTCGGTCGACTAATTCGATCATATTAAGTTTTTATGCACGTTATGCATAATTATTAATTATTATGTTCATCATTTATTGTTTCGTGTGATTATTGTATCACGAATTATTATCGTTATCGTAATTGTTATATCGTTATCGTTATTATTTAAATATAAATTATATAAACTATATGCGTAATTTTATGATATACATGTAATTTTGATTTATTACGCATTCATGTAGATCGATTTGAGTCGACTATGACTCATAGTCGGTAAAAGTTGAGTTGAGTTTCGTCGTTAGCATCCCTAATTTAGAATGCAATATCTCGAAGTTCAGTGTACCGATTCGAGCGAAATATTACCACTCAATTTATCACAACTTGACAAATCTAATGATAGTATTTTTGCTCGAATTAGGTCACTGAATGTCGAGATATTGCATTCTAAAGTGACGATTCATTGTATTTTTGGTGTAGAGATTTTGAACACCCAATGCCCACCGGAAAGGCGTAGATCGCATTGTTTTTGTGCTTGAAAATAGTTTTTTGGTACATTATTTACGGAAAGTTAATAGTGGTTGGATATTTTTACAGTTTACTGTAAATATATTAACGTTAATGTAAAATTATAATTAAATTATGCGTTATGCGTTTTTTTTAAATTTTAATTGATAAACAATTAATGAGTAGGCTCCCAGTTAACATACAATTAATTCTATGCGAAATTAATATACCATTCTTGTTTAAATTATGTTTCTTTTTCTACCAGTTTTTGGCCAGGATATATAAGGAAATCTGAATCTTCCTTTCTATTACTCACAATTGCACTTCATCTTCTGACTTCTGATCTTAACAAATACAAATTGAACGTAAACCATAACATTGCTTATAACATGATGCGCCAAAATAATATTAGTTTAATTTCATAATTTTTCACTTTTTCGACAAACCTTTATCCAATCAAAATTTAGCTTATAATTAAATAATGTGAACTTAGAATTTGGTATTATATTTAATATCACTGTGTCTTTTCCGAATTTTAAGATCCGAATTTCTATATCTTGAACGGAACCTGCATTATGGAATCACATTATCGATATGAAAAAATTTCAATTTTTGCAAAAAATATAATACAATAAAGCATGATATTAGTTTAATTGTTGTTACAATAATGAAAATTCATACGATACTAATTGTTTTATGTTTTGCAATAATAATCAAATATAAAATGCAAATATCAGTTTTTTAAGATATCTCAAAAAATTATCTATTCGCAAAGTCAAAGCAATTGGATATGGTAGTAAATGTGGCGTCGACGAATTTGGCACGAATATATACTATTTTCCGATCCATTCAATAAAGAAGTTTATATATATGTATAAGATATAATAGAAAGTCGTGCTATCAAGAATATTATGTTCAAATTAAAACTCTTGCGTAGAGTATACACAGTTGTTGATTTTATGATATATTCGTTTATGCTGCGTCTTCGATTTGTTTCATTTTAATGCACATTAAAAGAAACACTGAATTGGAGATGTCATTGACCAATTTCCTGATAAGCAATTCATTGGATTGACATTTTCTGTTGATTTATACATTTTTTAATATGCTCGATGATTGAAATAAATATTTCCTGTTTCAAAAAATTTTCTCGAAATCCTGTACTTTAGTTTATACTTATAACTGCTTTAACTTCAGATCACGTTTTTGAGCTCTTTGTAATTTAAGTCTATGTTAACGTAAACTATCTTCATGATATTTTCGAAAAAAATGATCCAGTTGTTTTGCGACCTCGCAAATTATTACGTTTTTTCTTGACAGGCTTATAGTAAGACATTAGGAGGTTCATTTAGAAATTTACGTTCAATTTCTGTTTAAAACATTTGTTTATGATAGAAGAAGGAAAGCTAGATTTTATTGAACAATAATTGAACAACTATTTGTATTACGTTTCGATTATTATATGTATATATAACTCATTGCAATATTGAATTTTACTAGATCTTATAAGCTCAAAAGAAAAAAACTATTTAAAGGAGTATGTTTGCAAAGTTTTGTAAAAGTTACCACAATAACTGAAGCTATATGTAACTATATCATCTTAACTTGCAGAATAGGAAAAAAGTTAAACCACATAGCTTGCACACGATTAATAAAAATACTTGAATAATACCATCCCGCATACAGCGTGATGAGAGGATGATATGAAAAATCGCTACTGATTATAGGTTAAATATAATGAGTCACAACGAAAATTATACTTATAAAAATCGGATTGATCAACAAAATGAGAGGGGATACATGCTCTCCGCATTATTTCTTCTGTCGCATAAAAGCTTTTTATTAGAACTATGCTTTTATATATCATAATCAATTAATTATATCCACGCGTTTATCTGTCTTGTCTTTTCGTTTTTTTCTTGCCTTACGACAAGCTTGACAAACTTTCAACTTAGCAAGTCGTTGATCACGTGTTTTTGCAATTTCTTTTTGTTCTCGACGACGTTGTATTCGATATTTTTCCTTCTCTTTATCGTAGATCGATTCGTTTGACAAAGAGAATTCAGTTGTTGGATAATTAACGGTCCTTGATGTTGTTGTAGTGAGTTGATTATTGTTGGTTTCGGTTTTGCATGAGGATGAGGTTGCAAGTTTTGGTGTTGATAAATTTTTGTTGTTTGTCATCACTGGAAATCCTTTTAAAATATTTGCATAAGTGGGTCGTTGGTAAGTTTCAACAAATTCATAAATTTCATCTTCGCTTTCTTCTGATGACGAGGAAGAGGATGAAAGTCCAGGATTTAACATGTCAATATTATTATCGTTGTCAGTATTAAGATTAATTGATCTGATTGTGAGGCGACTTGCCAAGTCGAGATCATCTTCGACTTCCCATTCGCAAATTTCTTCCCAAGTTTCGTTTTCCATTTTTATTGTTTTTCAAGGTAGTAGCGGTAGATATTATTGGTAAGCTCAGAAATAAAACAGAGTTAGTGTTTATGATAAAGTTTATTTATTTATTATCAAGATGTATTGATTGTGTTAATTGAAAAACAAATATGTTCTGCTATCCGGTTATTTATAATCAAAAATTAAACGATGGCGTAGTATTCCTAAAACACACATTAAATTAATGAATACTTGTTTGTATGCTGCGAAGAAGGAATGCGCAGTACCAGTATGATAATGACAAATCTTTTTGTGAAACCTTGAAATTAATTGGATACAAAATATTGGTAATTTGGCGCAGCAGACAAATCGCCGCAGTAAGCAAAGCAGCAGCGTTATTTTATCACTTAATACAGCCATACGATTCTATTACAAGTATATCGCAAGATTTTATTCCGCAAAATAAACTAGATTTTTCCCAATTTGCCATTAATAATAAATAATATCTTGATCAATAATTCAATAATACCGCTGATACTTAATACGAACATTTTTTCGTTTAGTTAGTTATCTATATTTAGTTTTCATTTTGGTTCGTTCCTTCGTTTTGTCTTAACTGATTATATTTCTATTAATAGAAATGTTAGTCGTTAAGACTTGACCAGCGTTCCTATTCTGCTCTACTCGAAATTCATTTCTACCACTAGCTTTTAGAAGTTCAAATCTTTCATAAATTTTCTATTTTCTGTATTATTTATTTTTTTGCTAAAAGATGTTATGAAAATTGCGAATCCCAAATTCAAAATACAAGCAACGTTAATTAATAGAACTCTAAAATACAAATACGCATTGAAAATTCCAACTAATAAGATTACTATTAACCACATATAAATACGATTTTAAGCAACAAATGTAATTACTCGAAAATCAAGGCAACATTTCATAAGTATATCATATGTTTATAATATTAAAAGATCCTTTTAGCTTATAAATGATTTTTATATTTCAAAAAGTTATTAATTCTATTCTTAATCTAATCCTTAATATAACCGTTCAAACACAACAGAGGTGAAATATATGTCATCTTCGAGGTATAAAATTTTCTATTGATATTTTTGTATGAGCAAAACGGTACTCAATACGTAAGAAATTTACCAATATATTCTGTAAAGAAAATTTTGACGTGGGATCGGAGAGGAGCAAATAAAAATACAATCGAAGGAGCTTTTTTAACTTTAATAAATATAAGCGTTTTTTATTGATAATGCTAGTTTAATTGACTTAACTTTTTATGGCTTCCATAGCTTGCAATTCATAATCCTTCTTTTAGGTTTTAAATACCTATCTGCAGCATTACCTTGTTGAGATCTTGAAAAGAATATTATTAATTATAATAAATTTTGGAAAGAATTGCATCCCTTATTCTTGCAATATTTCTTAATAAACCATACACAGCTAATACATTTAGTTCCACGTGCCTTTAATGTAGAAAAAGGGATACGTTGGTTATAAGTATAATATCGTTGATCATTAAAGTTTGTTGGTCGAAATACATAGTTAACCATGTGAAACCGAAATGGTCAGAAAATTCAGTTTGACGAGACAGTTTACTATAACAGTTCCTGAAACTTTCGCTAAAGGTTGGTTTCTTGATACTATTACTGCATTACAGTATACTTCGAATTGTGACTCTCGTAATATTGTCCAAATTTGATGAAAAGTTTGAAAACTTGCAATTAAGATAAGTTAGAATCTATAGAATGCAAGAACTATTATATAACAGTTTTATATGATCCTCTATTATGCGCAAATTTTAGGATCCCACAAGTTTTAAACTTTGTGTACTAAAGATGTGTATGTATGAGCTAAGAGCTGTAATCGTAGGTGTCACTTCTTTTTTAAAGAACATGACTTACGATTCTGATTCAGTGTACATGACAGCAAGAATGAAAGGGACAGCAAAATTATTGGAGAAGCAGAAAAATGTCCTTGTATTCTGTAATTGATCTGTGTATGCCATATGTGGAGTTTCCATAGAAAACTGAACATAAATCCATTGATGACATCATATATATTAATCCATGACACGTAATTTTTGATCAAATCACAAGAACATGTTTTCAATAATCGTTTATTTCAATTTTACTATGAAAAGATATTATTTGCCACGTCTAAAAAGCGCGAAATAAAAGAAAATTTTTTATCAATTAAGTTAAAAATATTTGATCTCAATATTATTGACTGTCAAATTGTCGAAAAATAACTGCGAGAAAGTAGAAGTTTGTTTAATCAATCTTCCTTCCATATAGTCACCTCCTATATGATCACACCCTCTCTACAATCTCACCTTTTTTTTCAGTTCCATATATTATAAATTATAGAAAATTCGACTTTTATTAAGTCACAACCTCTTTAAAGTCACACTTTTTGCTGTTCTCAAGAACGTAAATTTTATGGGTGAAGACTGTATTACAAATTACTAAATGTTGACTGTGATATATTGTGAGTGATTTATAAGATGATATTTATAATATGTTATGCTAATGTTTGTTATTATTTACTATCATAATTTTAATATATAATCATTTTTTATCAATTTTTGAATATTCACATTTTATATTGGTTTACTGAACTAAATTGCGGTCTTACCCCATATAATCACGCCCTTGGGAATAGCAAAAAGTGTGATTTTAAAGAATTTGCGAAACCAAATTTTCTATACTTTATAATATCTGGAACTGGGAAAAGATGTGATTGTAGAGATGGTGTGACTATATAGGAGGTATGGAGGAGACTGTACTCATCTTAGTTGTTGTAAATGTTGAAAGATGATTGGTGCATTATTTAATCCAAATGACATTATATTAATTCATTTAAAGTAATGAATGTTATTTTCTTTTGAGTCTTCCAGTTTAATTTTATATAGAATAACAATAAAATTACTAAATTTAAAAAATTTAGAGTATCCTTTTCCAAATTAATATATTATTGTATTTTGAATAATCTAATTATCATATACTTCCACTTGTTGAACAGAGTGAGTCTCACTTTGGATAAAACCAGGGCTAAAATTACAATATTTTCATTTCTTGATTTTTCTGGCTGATCACCTTTATAGGTTTATGTTACCTAAAGATAGCGCAGCAAGTATGTGATACTTATTTATCACCTATTGCAATATGTTGAAACTCTAAAATTTTATAAGTCACAACTAGTTGTAACTAGATGATGCTTTATTTATCATCACGTTGCAATAGTTGAGGAGTCATCTTTAGTGCCATCATCAAACAAGATATTCAATAGAATCTATTATATTTCAGTTATACTTTTTCTTTAATACTTACATGACTAATTTGAATAATATATTGAATTTTCTTCTACATTAATTAAAGAAGTCAAAAAAACTGAGTTTATTGAATTATAAAGAAAATCATAAAATATAATTCTCATCTTGTACTCGTACTATATACATACACTTAGGAGAGAGAATATTCTAACATATATAATGCAGAAAATCTTAACTCATCAATAAATTAAATACTTTAATAAATCAAATTTTAAAAAAATAAACTAATAATAATCTTGTTTAAGATATATACTAATAAACTACTGGTTAGAATTTTAATTTAAGTTTAAATAAAAAGTTATAAGCATTTTAAATCAGATACTTATTATATATTTTAGTTAAAATTGAAACATATCATGTGATTTTTATCACGTAAAACTTATTTAATGGTCAATTACGTAAAAGTTTTATTTTTGATATATTAAGAGTTCCATTTTTGATAGATTAGCAAGTATCTCAAATTTAGATTTCATTTTTGATATATCTACAGTAAAGTCATATTTTTATTATTGTTCTGAGATTTATCCATTGCATTATTATTAGCTAATTATGACTATATTCATAATGTCAGATATATAACTATAGCTCATTTATGATATCTCACAATTCTTTTTCTTTTCCAAGTATAATGAATATCCTTTGCTAGAAATATAGTAGTAGTTGATTTATTGTATTATATTATTATAATGATTTATTTATTAATTATCTTGTATAATATCAAAATAATATTATACAAAATTAAACAAATTAGGCAAAAATATTTTATTCAATACTCAAAAAATGCTGAGTATTAGTGAAAACATAACTTTACTATGAATATATCAAAAACGGAACCTAAATTTGGGGTACTTGCCGATCTATCAAAAACGGAACTCCTGATCAAAAACGAAACTTTTGCGTCAATTACAATAATACACTGCACGTGAATAATTTTTATTGGTTCAGTGTTAGGTCTAAGCCCTTAAAAAATTAACCGTTTTAAGAAACACCCGCTTATTAGCATTTAGAGCCTCTGTACATTATTGGTTGCATTATATGACATGCTATGTTACATATCTCTGCTTAATGCCTGCTATATCATTGGCTGCATTATATAATATGCCATATTACATTGCATACGCAAAATTGAAACAAATTCACGTGATTGGCGAGTTAAGATTTTCCCGCACCATATAACAAATGAGAAGCCCAAAAAATGAAAAATCAAACATACGTGCTTATATAACGATTGTAGTTTTCTTATCATTAAATTTTGGCAATCACTGATGTATTTAAAACAATTAAATTGGATCAAACGTGCATGAAAATCGACCAGTAATTTTGAAACATCATCAATAATTCGCACCAAATTTAAAAGAGCATCGGAAAAAACTTTAGCAATCATCATGCTCAATATCAGTTTAAAATGATTCCTTTATTACATTATATATTAAAAATATACACGATTTTGCGTTGAAACTGAGAAGTACAAAAACTTGATTCTCTGGCACCAGAAATAATTAATTAAAAATACTTTATGACCTTTTTAGCGAAAGATTTATTTGACAAAAATGTTTTTATATAATAAAACAAATATGTTAACTCGGAGGATAAAATCAATAATATTAACATGTTGTAAAGATACCAAGATAACCCTACATTTCACGCCCCAGATTGTTTTCATACCAAGATAACTCTACAAATCACATCCTCC